CACACACACACACACAACTTTTTGTTCCACAGAGACGACAAATCTGTCGAAATTGGAACAATATAGAGCATGGTAACTGCGGACCGAGAAACCAGACACTCGTGGACCGGACCAGTGTCTGGACCGGTCCGGACTGTCCGGTGATCCGGACATCACCGAACACCGGGACATCACCGGACCCGGACAGTCCGGACCGGTGTCAGGGGGGTACAAAATGTCTGGACATTAAAAAAAACAAAAAAAAAAAACGGAGAGGGGAGGGGGCTGTTGGCAGGCACTTACCTGCTCTGCACTTTGTAGTTCAGGCAGCAGAGCACCTGCCTTGCAGCAAATCAACAAGCACATTCAACTAGCAGACATGCAGTGTTGCAAACAGTGCAAAGCAGGCACAAGACTAAAGAAACAGAGGATTTTTTTTTTGAAAAAAGTATGATTAACTTTGAAATTGAATGTCGAGTTAAGTAATTTAAGTCCATAACTTCATTTATAATTTGAAAGTTCAAAATTTGCAGTTCAATTCAGAACGTCAGAGTCAGAGTCTTCGGACTGGCAGCACTGTCAGTGCTCTCTCTCTCTCTCTCTCTCTCTCTCTCTCTCTCTCTCTCTCGGCAACAGGCAGCAGCAATGGACAGCACATCGAAACAACCGCTTTGAAATTGCTTGGGCCAGTGTGAAACCCCCCACCCCAAAAACCTGCAGTGTCTTGTGCCCGGACCTCTAGGCCCTATCTGGTGGGGTGAAACGACACTGAAAACTCACCCCATTATTTTTCAAGGGGCCGCCAGGATCCGAAAAATGTCCTGGGCTGCCCCTTTATTTTTTTTTTATTTTTTTTTTTTTGCCCTGGGGGCCTCCATCCGGGCATAAGGACCTGACACCGGACACCGGACACTGGACATGTTATTCCGGACTGTCTGGAACCCGGTCCGGACGTCCGGTCGGTTACCATGATATAGAGATTTAAATTATATTTTTTATGGCACGAAAATTCTGTTTTCCGTTTTTCATTTTTTTTTCAGAAGATTTTTTAAAGAAAAAATAAAAAAAGATCCCCAAAAGAAGTATCATGTATAAAATACTACAAAATTCAAAATTGCAATAGAAACAACTTTTGCCCGAGTGTCTTGGCAAAATTCCCAACCTAATTCGAGGGGGGGGGGGAAACAGATGGGGATACCACAAGCTCCGGAAAAGTTGTACCCTAATACTCGTTGTACGTAGGTACGTACGTAGGTACGTACATACATTGTATTTGAATGCACATACCCCGTACCTTGTATTCGAATGCACATACCCCGTACCTTGTATTCGAATGCACATACCCCGTACCTTGTATTCATATGCAATGTATCCCGTACGTTTTTTTTTCGGGTTAAGACGGTAGTCTTCTCGACTCGAGCTGTCTTAACCATGGTTATCGCAAAGCGATGATGGTATGTGACTAATAAGCCCATAGTAAAACGTCAGCCACTGGATCTCTATAGCCTAGCACCATCCATAGCCCAGGGACGTGTGGGCCTAACGATATGAACCTAAGAGACGACACACAGGATGGTACATTGCATGAGGTCCAGTTACTTAATCGGGCAGGGCATTCTCAGGTTTAGGGGGAAAGTGGGTTATGCCATGAAACAAGAAAGGATATCTCCCACAGGGGCTCCAAGACAGACAGGTCACATGCTCGAATCCTGGGCTTTTATGGAACACCATATTGGCATTAGCAAGCCTGTTCTTGGGGATGTTTGCTGCAACAGGGGCTCGGATTCCTCCTCTTATCGGGGTACTCGGCGTCGGGGGGCCAACTGAAATTGGCGGGTTCAAAGACCATATACAAATGCCATTCCTGCACACAACAAACAAACATACACATTTAAAAAAAAAAAAAAAAAAGGTAAAAAGAAGTAAAAAAAGAAAGTAAAAAAACTTAAAAAAAGAAAGTTAAAAAAAAAAAAGTATAAAGTTGTGTAAACAGTGTAAAGCAGACTACTAACTACCCAATACCAAGGGCACAAGGGCTTAACAACTTGACCAGTTTGCAGAAGAAGAACAGTGTGCAAAAGTAGATTGATCAGAGGGGAAAAAAAAAAAAAAAGAAAGAAGAAGAAAAAGTAAGACAAGCTAGGATTGCATGGAGAAAAACAACAACAACAACAACAAAAAAAAAAAAGTAGACAAACAAGGATAGGATCAGAGAGATATGCCGCCGCATTGTGTAGTTTAGTCGTTTTTTTTCAAAGTAAAAAATGTATACTTCAGTTTTGTGGTAAACTCTAGTTCAGTGTAGTAATAATGATCTGATATTCCTCAGGTTGGTCCAGCTGATCAGGTACGTGGAAAACACAAGCTTAGGCAGGCCGTGCAGATAGTCTGCCTTGTAGAATCAATGTAGATCATTTAATTTTATTTATTTATTTACCTCGACTTTCAAGTTTGACAACGATTGTTAAATCATTAATACATGTATTATATATATAAATAGTCAAAGTTTGTCAAACACAGCTGCCCCTGATGAGTCGGTGAAACTCCGACAAAACAGTTTGTCACAGCCCCCCCTTGTTTGTTGTCCTCTTCTCCCTCTCTGCCTACGGTTTACCGGGCAGCTCTGTTTGATGACGTATATATACATAGTCAAACAGAGCTGCCCGGTAAACCGTAGGCAGAGAGGGAGAAGAGGACAACAAACGAGCGGCTGTGTTTTGATGTTAAAATCATGTTGTGATTCACCTTGAGCAACCTCTCTCTCTCTCTCTCTCTCTCTCTCTCTCTCTCTCTCTCTCTCTCTCTCTCTCTCTCTCTCTCTCTCTCTCTCTCTCTCTCT